TTCCGCGACGCGAAGCCGTCGTGGCACTCGCAGCGATTCGGTGCCGTGCACGTGCCGTTGGAGCACGCTGGATCGCAGGAGGGCACGCAATCATTGTTCGTGTCCTTCGCGTAACCCTCGTTGCAAACGCAAACGCCGGACACGTCGCATGTCCCGTTATCGCCGCACGAGTGCTCGTCGCAGGGAGGTCCGTGGACTTTGAGGCAGAAGCGCATCAAGCTGTTATTTTGACTGGGATGATAGATCCACGACGGATAGTGACCGGGATTGCAGGTGCATACGTTTGGCTCGGTGCACCCACCATTGATGCACTTGAAATTGCATACCGGTTGGCAAAGTTTTTGCTTCAGCTAATTTAGATCAAATTAGTTATTTTTAATTAGTAAATTGCGATAACTTAACGAGCGAAAATCCGAGTTCGATTTCTAAAAGAGTATACTTGAAAAAAGGAATCTTCAGGCTTTTGAAAGACCTCAAGCGAAAAACAAAAAAGTGCATAATTTCAAAATTGGAATTCAAAACTTGTTATTAATCTTGTCGCGTAGTGCGTATGACATTTATAATTTAGGCAACAATTATGACTTTATAAATATATATGTTTATTATGGATACACGGGAAAGATTTCGCTGGAAGATTCTAAAATTTAATTCAGTACAGATCTGAAAATAATTTTGTTTGGTCATCAAACTTAATTATGTTGAAAACTTAAGGTTGCTGGAATATCAAAATTTTTTGCAGCATTGCTCATCATATTTGAGTTTCCAACATGATTATTTTGATACATATAGTCCAAGAAAATTATTTTCAGATTTGTATTTAGCAAAACTTTAGAATCTTTGAGTAAAATCGTTCTTTAATTGCTACAATTTAATTAAAACTTTCTTCACTCATATTAAAAACATTATATTTATATGCAATTCATTTTATTCTATTTATAGAGAAAAAAAGCGTTTTTTCTTGTACATTAAAATTTTCGTGTAGTGAATGCATTTTAGATATTCGAAAATTGATCTGACGATAATGAATAACAATGCTTATATCTTATTATACAGGTATACTTGCCTCTTTTATGCGAATGTCATTAATATATATATTGTCTGTCATTAAATGTGGGAGTATTAAGCGATATCCTTTCATGCAAGCGCATCTATCATCCCCTATACATTCTGCGTTTTCTTCGCAAGGTATCTGGCAATGTGGCTTGCACATTTGATTCGTTTCATCATAAACATATCCAAGATTACAAATGCACGATCCGGGCGCGATGCATGTGCCGTTGCTGCAGTCGTTCTCGCAGATAGGCTCGCATTTGTATTTGGAACTGCCGTAACGTAGTCCGTAGCCCTCCTTGCAGCTGCAACTCTCCGGTGCCACGCACGTGCCCATCTCGCAGGGCTCGCTGCATATCGGCTCGCAGACACTCGCATTCGCCGCTCTGTAACCGTGATCGCAGGTGCACGTCCCCGGTGCCGTGCACGTCCCGAAAATGCACGGCTGATCACATTTGGGCTCGCAGACGAACGGATCGTCCTCGTCCACCTCGTAGCCCGGGTTGCACGTGCAAACATTGGGTAACGTGCAATGGCCGTTGGTGCACTTGTGATCGCAAACGGGCTTGCAAATGAGTTGGTAGTCATCGTCAATTTTCCTGTAACCGAGACGGCACGTGCACACGTTCGGCTCGGAGCAATAGGATCCGTTATTCCACTCGCAACTCTCGTCGCACACGGGCCGGCATGTGAATCCATCCGAGTCCAGCGAGTAACCCTCGTTGCAACTGCAAACCTCGGCATCGACGCAGGTGCCGTTGACGCAGCCGTTCGTGCACTCCGGCGCGCACATGCCGTCGCTCAACTTGCGGTACCCTTTGTTGCAGGTGCACACATCCGGTTCCTCGCAAGTACCCTTTTTGCACGATTCCGGGCAACGCGGCGTGCACATAGCTCCGGATAGAACGTAGCCTTCGCAGCATGTTATCTCGTTGTGGATCTGTAAACGTGATTAGCGAATTAGCGGGTTACAGTCGCGGCATAAACAGACTACATTGTTAATTTGTCAGTAATATAAAGACTAAAGGATTGCTAATTTATAAAATTGTGTTTTTCTCCTTATTTCTTTCTCATTTCTTTTATATGTATCATTGCAAACGTTGTTTATGATCCTGATTACCAATCGCCTGTAATTAGTTCGAGTCCTGATCTGATAGAATCCAAACGGATCGATCGTTCTATATGTTTCTGTATAAGGACGGTATTCTGGTATTTTCTGCCTACAATAATAGGATAATTAATATAAGTGGTAGCATATCCAAACGCGCAAGATATTTCGAAAAACTTGAAAATATTTTAAACATTAATGTTGAAAATGAAATTGAAGAAGCACTGGATATGTAATGTGTAAATAGAATATAATTTTCAATATATTATAGTAAAAAAGTGTAAAAGTACCTGAGTATTTCCTTGCAGTTTAAATTATCAAGTTTATGCATTAATTTGTATTGAAGCGGCGAATACTCATGCCGCAAAACATTACTGGTCATTGCACTGAATGCATTCACGTGCTCTATGTCCACTTGTAAAAATAATATCTTGACAGTCAAAATAGCGATTAGGCCGTAAAGTAATCCCATGATTTATTGCTCTTTCTATGAAGTTGATGTTTGCTCCGTGATGTTTAGACTGACCGTTGTGATGCTTTCTTCGCATATACTATCTCGTTTTATCTTTTGCTTTGGGTACGATATACAATTGCACGCTGTGTTATTCTTTAGCAGGATGTACTGTGTTATCAGAAAGATACTCAAAGCCTATATATTCATTCGCAGCCTAAAGTTTATTTCAACGTATTGATATCATTCGTTGAGGGAAATTCACTCGAGGTAAGATTAATAGAAATCTTTATTTTTTAAAACATACTATTTGTTGGAAAATTTAGGCATACTCTCTAAATTTTTTGGAGTGAATCTCCAAACGATTTACCGCAGTAGAGTATATTATTTGGAGCAAATTACAACAGGCGTTCGCATTAGACAATATCTATTTTGAGAGATACCTTTATACATATATCTATATTTTCATATTTCTCTTATTATCATCGAAACAACTTCGTATATATATATATTCAAAAAAGTAATAAATTTGATTATATGAGAAAACATTATTACTAACACCACTTATTGTCTAAATGAACATTATTTATTTTTTTCTCAACAATAAAATATTATCTAATTTATCATTACTACTACAAATTGTACTATTTATCATCAATATCTACTATTCCAGTTCATTCTTCGTGACAGTTTTTTTCAAAGTTGAATCTCATTGTCAGGCAACAAAGACTCGGTGGCGAAAGATTCTCGCGCAAATGTACTTGTTGACGGACCTATTAGAAACCAAATATTACAAGATCGTTATCTCGTTGTCGAATAAAATACAATAAAATATTAATTATAAATTTCTTAACAATATGAAGATAAACTCGTCAATGTAATAACAATCAAAATTTAATGGAAATAGGCCAAACTAACTTCCGTTTTTCTATATTAATTTATTAAGTTATTATTTTATACTGACTATGTGACTCACGTTTCTCATTATTAATTTGATTTAATGCGGCTGAAAAAGACTAAGTAAAGTTGAAACATGTAGCGCATTTGTCCATCATAAAAATTTAATTTTTTATACTATAAGTTTAATAAACGCTGTCACCTTCGTTAATTGCTCGTTAGTTTGACCTATTTCCATTAAATTATAAGTTTCTTGTTTTAGTATTTTTAATAAATGAGTGGAGCGTATTAAAAGAGCGATTTGTTTGCGGAAACTGTAAACGTTTCTTATCAATCACGTGAAATGATATTCACGTGAATATAACGTGAATATCACAATACGTGCAGTTGAAAGATCAGATTGTCGCAATTATCTTTCAGTTACACTTTCGCAAATTGTGAAATGATAATTTTTGTTAGTAATACACTTTGAAAAATACCTATATCTAATTTCTTTTGTTGACGTTTGCGAGACTTTATATAGTTTATATACGCTATCGCTCCTAGACCTGTGGCCAGCAATATAGCGATAGTCACGAAAGGCCAAACTATTTTGTTAACATTAGTTGAGATGTAACGCTGATTGCCATTAACTACACGACATGGCAAATCTGCAAAATGAAAGGTAGCGTAAATGAAATAAACAAATTCAAATTTTTTTACAAAATATAAAATTATATATAAAAAACCATATTTATTTTTAATGTTTCGTATTATTTTTATCAGTTTTCATACTTTTCTTTGCAAGTAAACTTTTTAAAGCTAGCTCTGTATTTTAAAATTTTTGTAAAATGAACTGAAAATGTTTAATATAGATTTTTTATGAAAAGATGAAACTTTGATGTTTTGCAAGTAACATTTGCTAATAAATAATTTATATAATTTAATATAAAGTCTTAAAAATATAATTCTTCCTCAAACTATTGAAATTCTGTTACATTACTAAAAACGATTGCATAATATATATGATGTTTCAGGCTACCTACGCCACTCATTTAACAATGAAGTGATTTTTATCAAAAATAGCAAAAATTTTGATAAGTAAATCGGATATTTTATCGAATGGTGATAATTTCAACTTCGGGTTTTGGATGGAAATGGGCTATTTAGAGCGGACGTCGATTTTTTTAAATGGAACATGGAATTTTTTATTGCAGATTTGGATTCTGCGCAAAAAAAACATGAAACTTTTATATCAAACATTTTTTCAAAAAATGCCAATTACAATATATCACGTTTCATTTAAAAAATCGACATCTGGCCTAAATAGCCCTTTTTCATTCGGAACTAGAAGTTGAAAATATCATCGTTCGATAGAGCGTACCCGATTTACTTACCAAAATTTTGGGATTTTTTATAGAAACCACTTCTCTCATTTTGGGTGGTGCAGGTGGTCTCGAACAATCTGTGTAATCAAAAAATTTATTATTAAAGAACATTAGTTAAAAATTTCCGTAAATAACTAATTTTTTGATTGCAAATACTTACCTGTATTAAGCAAGCAGCCGATATCAGTTGTATTGCCATTAACAGAATGCATCATGATGCATAGTGTTTCGTTATCAAGGGAATAGTCGCAGTCACAATACGGTACGCTGGGGACGGCTTGTAAGATTGTACTATTTGTATTATTACGAATAGTGATTCTGCAATGAATATGTGCGAATATACTCAAAAATTTATTTAGCAAATTATTTAATGGCGGACGCTTTTCGCGAGGTCAGGAACGGAATGTTCAGACGGGTCGATAATATTCACCTGTTGACGTCGTAATGATCGTAGGCCATCATGATGAGGCACATGATCGGTTCATCGCAGTCCTGTCCCGTCCATCCAAACTGACACTCGCATGCGTTATATAAATTGTCGCGGCCAATGACACACTCGCCGTGTCCGCTGCAGTTGCGAGTACACTCGGGGATGCATCCTGAGTGATTGACGATATCCGGTACGAAACCGTCGTGACAGATGCAATGATCCGGGCCGATGCAGTCGCCGTTCTGGCAGCCCTTCTCGCAAACCGGCTCGCAGAAGCTCTCGTTCCGCGACGCGAAGCCGTCGTGGCACTCGCAGCGATTCGGTGCCGTGCACGTGCCGTTGGAGCACGCTGGGTCGCAGAAGGGCACGCAATCATTGTTCGTGTCCTTCGCGTAACCCTCGTTGCAAACGCAAACGCCGGACACGTCGCATGTTCCGTTATCCCCGCACGAATGCTCGTCGCAGGGAGGTCCGTGGACTTTGAGGCAGAAGCGCATCATGCTGTTGCTTCGACTGGGATGATAGATCCACGACGGATAGTGACCGGGATTGCAGGTGCATACGTTTAGCTCGGTACATCTACCATTGATGCACATGAAATTGCAAACCGGTTGGCAGACAGGGCTCACCCGCGGCTAATTGTTTAGATCAAATAAGTTCTTTTTAATTAGTAAATCGCGATAACTTGTCGAGCGAAAATCCTTATTCAATTTCTAAAAGATATATTGGAAAAAGGAATCTTCAGACTTTTGAACTTCAGACTTCAAGTGATAAACAAACATGTGTATGATTTCAAAATTGTAATTCAAAAACGCATTAATCTTGTCGCATACTGTGTATAACGTTTATAATTTAGGCAACAATTTTGACTTTATAAATTCATGTACACATATGTTCATCATGAATAGATGGAAAAGATTTTGCTGAAAGATTCTAAATACAAATCTGAAAATAATTTTGTTAAGTCATCAAAAGTAATTATGTAGGAAACCTAAGCTAGTTGCTAGAATATCAAAATTTTTTGCAGTATTGCTTATCATATTTGAGTTACCATATTTGATAATTATTTTGATATATACAGTCCAATAAAATTATTTTCAAATCTGTACTCAGCAAAATTTTAGAATCTTTGAGCAAAATCGTTTTTTCCATGTAGCCACAATTTAATTAATACATCCTTTTACTTATATTAAAAACATAATATTTATAAACAATTATGATTTTATTCTATTTATGGAGAAAAAAAAGCGTTTGTTCTTGAAGATTAAAATTTTTCTTTCGCGTGGTGGGTGCATTTTAGATATTTGAAAATGATCCGACGGTACTGAATAACAATGCTTATATCTTATTATACAGGTATACTTGCCACTTTTATGAGAATGTCACTAAAATATATATTGTCTGTCATTAAATGTGGGAGTATTAAGTGATATCCTTTCATGCAAGTGCATCTACCATCCCCTATGCATTCTGCATTTTCTTCGCAAGGTATCGGACAGTGTGGCTTGCACGTTCCATTCGACAGAACGTATCCCTTATTACAAACGCAAAATCCAGGCTTGATGCATTGGCCGTTGCTGCAGTCGTTTTCGCAGATAGGTTCGCATTTGTATTTGGAACTGCCGTAACGTAGTCCGTAGCCCTCCGTGCAGCTGCAACTCTCCGGTGCCACGCACGTGCCCATCTCGCAGGGCTCGCTGCATATCGGCTCGCAGACACTCGCATTCGCCGCTCTGTAACCGTGATCGC